AAAGCACTGTGTTTCCTAATGAAAATGCTTCAAGTATAGCGGCATGGCTGTTTTTTGAACAAACTCCAACACATTCCTTCAACGGGCAGTGAAACAGAGCACACTGGATCTTTTCCAGGTGGAGTTCCACCAACAGCATGCTTCTAAGTCGTGATTTTTTCACCCATGTCGCTTGAGGTCATGGCATGTTATTGACTTTGTATGGTTGCTTCTAAGCCAAGATGACTCGAGCCTGGCACTGATAAGGCCAAGTTCATGGCTTCAGTCCCCAACCTTGCAATTCGAGCCTCGTTTGAGAACTCATAGAGTCTCTGTTGAAGAACATGAAATTGACAACAGTGTAGCAATTTTGGATGACATAAAGGATCCGAGGTCGGCCTGCTGCAAACAAACTGGGAACGCATGCCTGCTGCTCAAGGACTCACAACCAACCACGAAGGGACTCGAACCCTCAATCTTCTGATCCGAAGTCAGACGCCTTATCCGTTAGGCCACGTGGTTTGGCAGAAGTTCCCACTTTTCATGAACGTTCGTTTGAGTCTGTTTGAGCCAACTGCTGGTGTCGGGTTGGTCACGTGGCTGGTGGATATTGCTTGATTGTTGCTTGAAATAATTGATTGTTGCTTGAAATAAGTGCATGCCACAGCATTTCTCCCATGTATCACGCTCTTAAAAACGTAGTCCTACCTGCCACATGCACAGTGGATCCACCCACTAAGCCAGAGTATCATCTGCCAATGGAGTTCATAAAGCTTACGTGGCCCGATCTCTCACTGATAAGGCCAAGTTCATGGCTTCCCTAACCTTGCCTTTTGAGCCTTGTTTGAGAACGCGTAGAGTCTCTTTTGAAGGACACAGCCAGGGTCTGCAGCCTTAAAGGCTGCATTTCAAGACCGATTACGTCACAGCGACGCGATGAAGGCTGTCCCAATTCAAAGGCTGCTCGAAATGTGGCCGTCAAATGCGTCCTTCATTTCCCTGAATTTTAAGGATGGGTCGCTGTAGCCTTTATGGCCCAACATATCCCAGACTTCATAGCGCGGCGGTGGTGTAGATAATTTTTCTGAAAAAAATGGAGCGGCCGAAGAGTAAATTTTCAAAAGTAAGTAATGAATATTATGTCACTTATTTATGCGCAAATGTTTAATAATGAAGAACATTAAAACATTACTGTTGGCCACATGTCGGGAAAGCTATGTGACATTAGTGATGTTTGTACTAACTTGGTTTTAAAGCCTTTACTTCAAAATATACGCCGTTCAATAGTCGGCCTTAATCTTACAAAGAATGTGATGATTTTAGGGATAATTAAAGTCAGTCATATATCCACAAACACAACAAGCTGAAAGTCAGTGATGCTGCTCGGTTTGCAGTCCTGAATATCACGGCACAAGCAGGATTCACTGCACTGTTAATGTTAGCTATGTTA